TATTTATAGTCCCCATATATTCCCACTTTTCCATTTCTAACCAATGTGGGATTGTTAATCCCTTTTAAGGCTCCTCTTCAAATCCCAACTTTCAATCAATGTGGGAGTAATTTCACATACACAAGTGAAAATTCATTTGCCAAATAATATATTTTCCAACAAGAACATCTATGATGGGGATACGAATTGTACTAATTGTAGGTCACATATACAAGAGAGAAAATATGGAGAAAGAAAGAAAAAATTAAATGAATGGATCATTAGATGAAGATAATTTACTAAAAAATTAAGTAGAGGACATTAGCACACACCTTTCAATTTTCATAGGTGAATGGTGTGCCAGACATCATTCACATCTTGTCCCGTCACCTATATATTTTGGAGTAACGTGATACTTTTTTGGTGCAGTTCACAATGCTTTGAAGTTTGTGACTAGGGAACGTGGGTCTCTACCAAATCAATATGATTAAAATTTAAACTATTATATGTTTATATATGAATACTACACGTGCATTGAACATACTTTGTAATTTTGATACTCTTTAAGATTTTTTGTTTTTTTTTAAGTGCCAATGATACACCTGTAATTTATTAAATGATAAAAATAATTAATTACTCATTGTTAGGCAGCTCTTCAATTTTCTTTTCTATGCGGGATTCATCAAGCCAATTATTATAAGTTTAAAAGTAATAATAACAATTAGCACATAGGTCCACCGTCCACCTAACATCTATCAATTTTTTTAATCAAACATTTCATTTAAAAATTTAAATTTTTAGGTAAAACCAAAAGCGACTATATAATTTTCCGTAAAACATAATAAAAGGGATGTTTGATAGATATTATTGAAGAAAAAATATATTTTAAATAGTGATATGATGTGAAATATGTGGTTAAAAAATAAGAAAAATTATTGATGCGATGAAAAATATTATTTTATTGAAAAATGTGTGATTGAAAATTAGTTTTGGAAGAACATGTGTCAAATCGAACTGATTACTTGTTCACAACTTCTACCTCAAAAGTTGTCCCCCACTCACCAAAAGGTGATATCATAATTGTTAGATTCAACTCGAACACAGATTCGAACAATTCAGCGGGTCAATTGTAAATATCGGGCCGGGTTGCAGGTTTTTCGGGCCAACCGTACGGGCCGGATTTTATAACCATGGCCAATACTGTTAAAGAAATTTTGTAAAAAAAAAAATGGTATAATTCATCATCGCATGGGTGATTATTTACTGATTTTTCCAAACGGTGACCATTTTCCTCTCTCCGAAAAAGGGCTCCGACACGCAAAACTCAATCTCCAAATGAGATATTCACGGAACAAAAAAATCACTTGTACAGTGATCAGAGGGCTGTATAATTTACAGCCCTCTGAACACTGTAAGTGTAGTACTGTTCTTCCCGGAATCAACGGTAGCCAGTGCCATGCCACGTAAGGGATTACGTGACAGTCCTACAGTGTCCAGCAATTATATTGAGAGAGAATAGAGAGAGCACAAATGGTCTTTCATCCCCTCGCTTATCTCTGACTTCTCTCTCAAATAGAAGATCATAAATGGCTAAATCTCCAGAAACAGAGCACCCGCTCAAGGCTTTTGGATGGGGTGCAAGAGACACATCTGGGGTTTTTTCACCTGTGAAATTCTCCAGAAGGTATAGATACCGATTTCTGGTTCTGTTTTGATTTCATTTCATTACACATGCGATGAAGAACCCACTTTTTATTGAGATTTTTTTTTTTTGGGAATTTTTCATTNCTATTAAAGTGATAATTTTTTCTACAATTGGTTATAAAATTTGTTTCAATTGCCAAAAAGTAAAAAAAGGGAAAAAAAATTGTTTCCTAAA